GGAGGAGGAGGAGGAGGAGGAGGAGGGGGAAAAGGAGGTGATGGGGACGGGGAGGAGGAGAGAAAGAAGAAAAGAATTGATGAGTATACATAACATCAATAATACTAATAACGATGACAACGATAACACGCTTACTCTACTATCTTAGTTTCTAGACAGAGTTTTATGACACTTGCAGCACATTGAGGTCAAATAAGTGAGGACGATTAGAGGTGTTACAAGAGAGTAAGAGCCACAAAAAAGAAAGAGGAGAGATAAGGACGATAAATGTTTGAAAGGAAGGAAGGAGCTAACCTCACCAGAGCACCCACCGACTGACCACCCACTTACTCTTTTCAAAGACATAATTTTTCTTCTCTCTTCAGTATGTACGCTATTCTCAGAGGTTCGCTAGCAGTCCACGTGATTTTTGAGACAGAAAACGAGAAGGAGTGTTACGGTAAAGTGGAAGCTGCCATGACCAAGAAAAAGTTCAACCGGAACGATTTGGGAAACGAAGTGGCACAGAAAGGTATGATGTTGAAATGTTCTGTTTTCGTCCAGCGTAGAATTCTATAATGTATTCCTCCTGATTGGCTTATCTCCACAGTTGATGTCATGCTCTTTTCTAATATGACTCCTCAGATGTAGAAACTGGCTAGATTCTACAAGGGTTGTCATTTGCAGCATTCTCAGAGCAAAATGTTTAAAAAATCAAAATGTTATTCTTATAAAAAGTTTAATTACGAACAATTCAGAAGCTTTTGGACATCACTGATTGATTTTAAAAAAAACAAAATTCAGGAATGTACGTTTTAACTTTTGTAAAGCACCATGGTTTGGACTCACGTTGAATTAAATTTGTCTGTTAATGGTGGACACATCTGACAACCCTACTGTGCATGCTCGTGTTTCTGAGTGCTCCTTTAGATGTGGGTTCTCTCGTGTGGTGATTGGCCTAGTCTGTGTTGTGTTTTCTGTTTGAAAAATGCATGCTGACTTTATTGCTCGACATAACCTGCACCTCGTAGACTTCACAATAATAATAATAATGATAATAATTTTTATTTTTTTTTACAGAAAACAAGGAAAGAGTATATTGTTTGGTTGTATGGTCAATGCGACTTGTCAAAACTGGAAGTAATCTAGTGGGTTTGATCTGCCTGGAGACTAAAGAGAAACCCTCCAGATTTCAATCTGAACCAGGCTCTGGGATGTGATGTTCTTTCTCTTTACTACAAAAGGCGTGAGATCGATTCCCATACTGGAAGGTCTATCTTATCGAGGGTTTTCTCTATGTGTCTGCAGAGATGGTGTTTCTTTTACAGCCCTGCGTTGACTCTGACTGACAGAACCTTAGCATCCCAACTCCTTAATGATCTAAATTGTGTTAATAGAGGTATAAAACATTCACAGTTTATAAAATGCTATCAGTTCAATTTGGTTGTAATGGAGCGTTACCATCCGGAACTCTAGTTTTTCGGCACTACCAATGTCGCATTGTCTATGCACACCATTATTACATTATTCATATTATATTCATTGTATATCCAGAAGATATTTCTTTCATCAAATATTACAGTGTAACTGCATGTTTTTACTGCACTTTATTGTTTTAGATCTATGTGCACCCTGATATATAGCATGACTTTCTACACAGTTCTCTCCTCTTACAAGACGTTTACGTTTCCATGAAGGAGATTCTGTATCTTTCTCTATGGGAGTTTTTTCTCCGAGCAGTTTGTTTTTCAAAATATTATACAAGGTTACGCTTGAATCTCATTTCAGAAAAAAGAGTTTCTAAGTGTATTGTCACCTCCATTGAGGTGCTGCTTTAGTGATGACTTAGGCTACACTGGCTTTCTCTAACTGACTTGAGAGTGCTGAAAAGTGCTGAGAGAAGTCATATTATGCCAAGCGTCTGATTGGCTAATTCCTTATTGATATTACCCTTTTAATTCATAATAAATCTAAATAAAATTGCCATGAAAAGTATCTCATTTCTGAAATAGGACAAAGTTAATAAACAACGATTATGTCCAGGAACAATATTACATCATCGCACTCTCACAAATAACCAGACACTCCAAGGCAAAACGCACTATATTAATTTACTTTTTAAAAAACCCAGGAAAATTGAGAAAAAAACCCAACTTATTCTCTGTGAGCAAAAACGCAACTTTATCGTACTACGTACCGAGGAGTACAGAGCATTTTGACATTTTGATGAAAAAGATAACATTCTCACTTCAATTCTTATCATGATAATATTATGAAGTATATGGGGTTTTTCCGGAAATCTCCTTATGCGGCGTATAGTGCGTTTTGCGATGGAACCCGTCATTTCGAAATGCACAGTCATGTCAAAGGACAATGGAATGTACTTTTTTGGTTGACCACACGGAAATTGAATTTGTCGTCGTAAAGATGCTAGCACAGGCCATTGTTCTGAGAGTGAGCCATGGCTTTGCTAGTTAAAGGAGAGGAAACTTTCATAGCTATGTACGTGCATGACTATTTCATTGTATAGCATGTTATTCAATATTTTAAATATATTACCTCTCTGTATGAGTTCTGTTTTCAAATATATCAATATATTATACATTATTAAGCTTCTCTACTAGTCGTGCACAACGAAATCATGTACTCATAAATAATAACAAAACTGTCCCTATCCATGTACATATTGTGAATCCTCTGAAAATATATTTTCTAGTCATATCAAAGTATACGGGGAGTATATGATTACAACATTTGGGTTTTTTGGGGTAGAGCTATAAATCATTAAGGACCCAGCAGGCCGCGCCATACACGTCTATCCCATCAGCAAAAAAGCGAAAGCAAAGGTGCCGCACATTTCGAACCATCACTCTAAAAAACGAAACAGTAATTTATATATGCCATGCTATGTAGTATGTTGCTGCCTGTCTTTCAAAGTTTGAAATTAAGACAAAAGAATAGAAGAATCTGCATAAATAGTGAGGTTGTCACCGGCAAGCTGTTCAAACGTTTTAGGCCTAGAAAACAATTTAATTTTTTTTCAGGAGAAAGAACAAATCTGTTTCTCTTTCTTTTAACAATTGTACATATTTTATTACTTCTTTTCTTCTTGTCTTTTTCACATTCAGAATTTGAATTTGACAAAAAGATATTTTGAACGCATGCAACTTTTTGAGTTACTATTATAAGACCATGAGGTCAGAAACCATATTATGTTCTGTCTGCTCTATCCAAACCGAAAGGTTACTAGGAGTCGTCATCAAGATATTCAAAGAATTGCTTTATAAAAAGCTTGACGTGTTGTGAAACTCAAAATGTTTAACGGAAAATTTCCCCAAAACAAGGTACTGAGCAGATAGAACTGTATAATTCTAAGGTCGTGCAATGCGCGTCCCCATTGAGTTAAGTCCTCACTTAAAGTAACCCAGCCCTGCTCCAGGACTGAACCAGTCTCAAGAAACTGACACAAAACGTTCTGGAGACAATCCCATTGGGATTCAAAGGGGATCGAACTTTAGTCCATTGTTGTAGCCGATTAGTATTTAAACAATTGCACCACCTAGACCATAATGATCTC